TGAAGTGGTGCCGCGCACTCGAACGAAAACGCTGAAGTTTAAGGAGCCTCACCAAATAAAGTAGCCTGTAGTCAGTCAAAAGTTCGGAGAGATAATACTCTGGTCAAGTGAGAAGCACCGAACTCTTTCAAAAGTCTCCACACCTGTACCGCGTGTCTTGCTCTGCTCTGCCACGGAACTCTGCAAAGTTGTGCGCTAAGCTCAGCTGTTAATAGAGGCTCGGCCATGTGATTTGGATTGACAGCATAACAATGAGCTCAGCGCCGACCAATCAGAGAGCGCCTCACACTCCGCCATCCAAGCAATGCGCTGCCTGTGCACTGTGTTTCGGGATGAACTTTAAAGTGGGATAAAATAGCTACATCAGGGGCATCTTTGCACTTTTGGCAAAAGTGATCACTTTGCAAATATTGTTCTAAAGCGGTCGTTATTCACTGAGAATGTTAGCCTTATACCTACTTTTGCAGTAGGCTACAGATTAGGTTATGGATTTCGAATTTTCCCCCGAAAAATGCAGAAACTGATAAGCATGTTTAATTTGTTGCTTAAAATAAAGGCAAGAATCAGGTTAGATCCTAGTTATTGGAATCAAACTATAAACTTTGTCACTTGCAATGGCACCACAAAGGCACAAAGATAATCGTTAGGCCTAATTAAACAAATATTGAATATATAATTAAATTAAAAGCTTGATTTGTTTTTTTTTTTAAGAGATAGGACAATCTTGCATCCACCAATGCAAAAGCTTGGCTACATCAAATGGTAGGCTACAATTTTGCCTCACAATTAATACAGGATTTTAATTATTATTATTGTTATTATTTTCAAGATAATCTCCTACATAGGCCTAATTAGAATGTGGGAATCAAAGCTCTTAAAACTGACACTGATTAAAAGTACGATTTTAACATCAAGCACATTATTTACGTTCTTTGTCTCATATTTTTTTTATAACTTTCAATTTGTTGCTTAAAATAAAGGCAAGAATCAGGTTAGATCCTAGTTATTGGAATCAAACTATAAACTTTGTCACTTGCAATGGCACCACAAAGGCACAAAGATAATCGTTAGGCCTAATTAAACAAATATTGAATATATAATTAAATTAAAAGCTTGATTTGTTTTTTTTTTTAAGAGATAGGACAATCTTGCATCCACCAATGCAAAAGCTTGGCTACATCAAATGGTAGGCTACAATTTTGCCTCACAATTAATACAGGATTTTAATTATTATTATTGTTATTATTTTCAAGATAATCTCCTACATAGGCCTAATTAGAATGTGGGAATTAAAGCTCTTAAAACTGACACTGATTAAAAGTACGATTTTAACATCAAGCACATTATTTACGTTCTTTGTCTCATATTTTTTTCAACAGCATAATAGCATGCTATTACACTATAACACTATTACATTATAATTGTGTAAAGACAAACATTCAACAAAAATTGTTGTTTTAAAAAAAATACTCTTCGCAGTTTTGTCAAGTGTCCACGACGACCTTGTGAATAGAAAATTAATACAGTAACGCCCCCCTGTGGACCAATACTATATTGTTCTGAAGCAAAAAAAAAATCTGACGAGTGACAATATCTACAAACAACTCTTCTAAAAACGACTTTTTAGAACTGCCACGCCAGTGTGGAGTGTAGGCTATGTTAATGATTTAATTTGTATACCACCAGTTACTGTCAACTGCAATCATTCCGCGTCTTATTATGTGATTTACCAATGACTCCAGTCGTAAGACGTGTTTCTGCTGGGAGAGGGTTTCTGTCTCCCGGGGAGAACTTACACCTTCCAATGGGTCAGAATTAGCACATCGTCCATCGAGAACATCGTCATTTAACACATTCAACGCCACTGAGACTGAACGATTACAGTAGCCTACTGAATATTCACGATGGACTTTTAACACCACACACTAACGACTCGGCCATTTAGACAAGTTTCACCGTGTGTGACCGATTTGTAGGACATGTAGCCTAGGCTACACCAACACGTCTCCGTTAGGCTATTTACTTTCCAAACTACTCTTAACAAGTGCGAGTGTTGTTACCCGATGTTGTTATTCAGGCCCGAGGTTAATTGTAAAGCAGGGCATAAATTATTCATCATATGGCAATTTGAAAGAGTGATCTGGTTAGGCTGGTGTAGCTACTAATTAAGCATTATAATATAGAGAAAAAATAATAAATCATTGCCCATATATATGCTACGATTTTATTTTGACAGTATTTTTTCCTATAGCTAGACTAAATTCAACACTTAACAGTGCCTTTAGGCCTATATGTGATTTAGAAATTATCACATTTTCACTGACAAATAAAAGACAATTCTACTTTTCAAGGAGAATAAGTAACCATCCCCCAAAACAAAAACGGTGGATCTTTTTTTCACGTCGTTTTCACTTTAGGCAAAAAAAGTTAAATCGTCATTTGGAACATCATTACATTAATATGAATATAGCGGTGCAGCAGCAGTTCTAATTAGAGACTTGTTCCACGAAACCGGTGATTTATCCGAGTGGTTTCAGGAACATATCCTCTTGTAATCTGCTTATGGAAATGTAGGAGACAGCGGGAAAAGGAAAACTCCCAGTTACCCGGAGCTCGGTAATGAGGGCTTCTGTTCTCCAAATTTCCCAATTAACGTGAGCTAAGGCCGAGGACCACCAGGAAAGCCTCCCAGTGTTCAAAATCATTGAGCTCCGAGCCACAAGGCTTCGGAAAATCACTCACGTGTGTGATGGCCGAGCAGTGAATTGTCCATTAGTGCAGTAGGCAATAGCACTGTTCAAATGACCCGAATAGTCTAAAACGGTCACTGTGCAGCAGATAAATGCAATAAGGAAGCCATTGTGTGTTAATTAGGCTACCACTCAAAAATAAACGGTAAATGCAAACCTATATTTATCTGTGCCATTGATAAATATCAGTTCGTTACTGACTTAGCCTATGTCACATGTTTGAGCTGTGAAATTTAAGATTTTTATTAGCTGAACGTTTTAACAACTCGTTCTGTCGTGATGAACTATTGAGAGACCAACAATATCCTAACAATAAATCACCACAGGACTTCTATTCTTTATCAGCGTGTAAAGTCCTTTTTTCCGAGCCCGTGGATTCACTTGTTAATTAGCTCAACCTAAACAATTACATTGGAAGTAAATTATAACAAAGCGCACGCAGAGCCACAAAAAAGACACCGTGTTTCGACTCTAATAAGGGTATAGCCTATATACAAAGTTTAAATAAGTGAATTTGATAATCCAATAATCTCGCACGCGACACACCCACTTTAAGAAACAATAACACGAGCCAAAATTAGGGGAAACTATCATTATTTGAAATTATTTTTATCTAAAGAAGGCATTGTTGTAGCCTATACAGCAATACTTTTTACTATTTGTACTTGATTTAAAAAAGTAAAAACACAAGATAAAATGTATATAAATGATATATATTAAAAATTCCGAATAGAATAGCCTAATACATTTTGGAAAAAGTTTCAAATTAGGAATAATATTAGGCTACATATATTTTGTCTAACAAAATATGAATAGAACAAAAATACGGTTAAACTCTAGCCAAAACGAAACAATAATAATAATAAATAATATTAATTTAATCATCACCTCACATTTATGAGATCAGATAGGGTAGGCATATGTCGCCGAACCATTAACCATTGCCCCGGAATCCATTTAAACCTCATACCGTGTATGAATTAATAACTTTTTGTTTCAACTCACTGGCTACGAATAAGGCCAGAGTTACCATGGTTAACAGAATGATTTTTCAATTGCAGGCACAATAAAGACCGTCTCATTGGGATTTGCATGATTTTTGAACCGAATATGCAAATGAAGATGCAATTTCAGCACGGTCTGTTATTCCTATTGTATTTCGCTGAATGGTTGCGTCCCCTCTGGTTCTGACACTGGTCAAATAATATTCACTGCTCAATTAAAGAAAAGAGGCTTGAGTTTGACCTTCTTTCAGATGTCACTGCGAACTACTGGAATGATATCCTGTTTTTTTTATTTAAAGCATATGAGTTCGGTCTTTAAATTTAAATCAGCAGTGCTGTAAAGCTAATTTAGCCTATATGAAAAGGACAATGCTATTTTTTTTACCGAACTTATTTTACTTTAATTCATTTTAGGTATTTTGAGTCACTAATACGCGAAAAGCGTGCTACTTGTCGATGTCATGTTACGCATTTTTCCTTAGGCTATTTATCTAACGGATTTATTTATTTGAAAAAAGTTGATTAATAGGCGCATTTCAATGTTGCAATCGAAACAAACTATATGAATAATAAATATTTAATTATAAACCAGCTTTAAATAGAGAAATATCACAAGACATTGTCCATTCTCAGCACGTTTGTAAAGTGCGCTTAAGCACTTTTGCTCAATCACCTGCAGAGGATAACCTAGGCTATACCGATTGAATAAAAATGGGACTCAATGCCTCTAATGCTCGAAAACGTCAGAAACATTTATTTTCAGTTAGCCATATAAATGATCCTGATCCATGATCCTGTTTGTCAAAAATAATTATTAAAAAAAACTTTCATTTCGCAGTTTACATTTCTCAACGAGTATAAATAAACATGAGATTCCTGTTTTTAATTTCATTTCCCAGCGAATTTAAGACAGATTTTTTTTTATATACAGGAAATGTGTCCATTCTCAGCACGTTTGTAAAGTGCGCTTAAGCACTTTTGCTCAATCACCTGCAGAGGATAACCTAGGCTATACCGATTGAATAAAAATGGGACTCAATGCCTCTAATGCTCGAAAACGTCAGAAACATTTATTTTCAGTTAGCCATATAAATGATCCTGATCCATGATCCTGTTTGTCAAAAATAATTATTAAAAAAAACTTTCATTTCGCAGTATAAACATGATATTCCTGTTTTTAATTTCATTTCCCAGCGAATTTAAGACAGATTTTTTTATATACAGGAAATAAAAAATAGAGCTGAAATCAAATGGTTTTAGCATTTGACAGTGTAAAAATGACTCACTGAAAATCCATATATCCATTTCTTTGATTTTCTTAAGTCAAATTCCATTACCTGCAGGGAAATGTAGCTACTACAGGTAATTCACTGTTGAAGACTAGAGCATGTGTCTTCCACTGAGGTCCACCGCCTGTTGCTTAACTGTTTTGTCATGTTATCATACAGTTCAAGAAAAGATAAGCACTTTTACCTGAAAAAGAAGAAATTACATATCCATCACACTCTAGATATAAAAGGATATTTAAAAAAATACCACTGATACAAATGACATTCTTACCATCTTAAGTGATTTAATTGTCCTGGTTTAGTTCTGTTTGTCACAAAACTAATATTATCAAGTACCTCGCAATCACACCTAATTGTGGTGAGCTTTCAAATGAATGTCTTTAGAAGCAAGGCATGCTTGTCTAAAGCATGTGCCCTACATACAAATACATACAGATGTGTTTTATGCCACGTATGTATATATTTACAAGGAGTAGGATCATTTTCCCAGTAAGCACACAGTACATAAGAGAAGTATGTTGCAACAGAAGAATAAAGGCACATTTGAGAAGCTCTTTAGCCCAGTCAGTGATGAATAGGATTTCTGATCTAATGCAGCATGAAGCTAATGTGCACACATCATCTGCAGGGACATTAAGGCATGCAGCACATGGTCTGAATACACAGTCCCTATTTGCTCCCCAATGACAAAATTTTTCTACAATATCTTTAACTTTCAGGAGGACAATTTTAAGCGAAACATTAATAAAACCACATTTAGTACATGATGCGTTAAATGAAAATAGTTTTAACTACATTTATTCTAACCCAGTGAAAGCTAATTTCAATTAAACCGCTGATTTAATTTAGCAGAAAATTACTATAAATACAGTTTTGATTAAATCACTGAGCAAATTCTAACAGCACAAGCAATTGTCTTTGAGTTTGGAGGTGTTATTAGCTTCAGCTAAATGTGTCTGTGAAGGAATTTATCAATGTGTTAAAGCGGTATCTCTGTCTCCTGCACATCAGCAATGTGATAATGTTTATAATGTCTCTAGAATAAGTGTCTGTCAGACAAACGATTAGGGTGTCATGCCTAGAGCTGAATTTTTTCAAAACACAAGACAAGAATAATGAATTAAAGTAAAATGAAAAACTTACATTTACAATTTTTTAAGTTCCATATAAATAAATATCACATCCTGAGCAAAATACACAGAAAGCATTTTGTTAACTCTGTGTTGTCTTTTGTCAGTCAGACTTGCAGAAATGGATCAGATTTGCCATCACTGAAATGTCATCATTGGCTAATTACAGACCTCATTATTTCCCATGTATCTTTTGAATCATTTCCATGTACTACAGTTTCTCCAAAACAATAGAAACTTTCTCTTTTTTTGTTTAGCAGAGAATGCTGAGTTGTCTGATTTTGCTTTGCACCAAATGTGGCAAGCAGATGGCTTTTGTTTTAAACATAATTAGGATCCCACTAATCTGGTGCCTTTTAAGAATGAAACAGTCGCTTCATCAGACCTTCATTAGTTAAGATAATATTGTGAAAATGCACAATTAATTTGCAGGATATATCTTTAATTAATTAAATACACCCAATTTTGTAATAAGTAATGATTAATGCCACAAAGTTGTTATCTCTAAATTATTCGAAAATTAATACGTAACGATAATACTTTCTGCATTATTAGCGAGAACTGAGGTTTTGGCTGTGGCAAAATCCTGAAGAACTAATTACGCCGGGTAATTTATTAAATCTGGAGGAAAGAAACAAACAAGTATAAATTGATATATTAATCATGGGCTTCATTACGTTAATCTGCGAGTGATTTGAGGTGAAAATGACGAATCTCTGTTGAGCGCCGAGCACTTGATAATGGAGATACTGGCCATAAATTTACCCTACATAAAGGCCTCATTAAAAGAAGCATAATTTAATTAAGAGTTAGCCATCGCCCTCCAAATGCATTAATTACCTTGGTATGAAGAGATGAGTTTTGGGATTACTGATGATTTCATTACGGCCAGTGTTGCTGCTACTGTGGCAGGGACCTGCTGTTGTTGACAGGATAATGGATTGGGTGCCTGGGGATGAATCTGTTCACCTTGGCAGAGAGAGACACAGAGGAGACACACCGGACCCTCATAAGTGGACACTACATAGTGCACTGCCCCAAATGTTTACAATAATTGCGTCTCCTTAAAAATAACCTCCTAGGTTTAGTCCACCTACATCTTTATGCTTATTAAACTCGTTACATTAGTTGTTCTGTCAGTACAGTTTGACCCGTCAGGGAGGAAAGTCCTGATGGACCAAGTTATTTAGTAATCTGAACAGTACTTAAAATGACCCACTTAAAGGTCCTTCGGGAGCAAATGTGCATTATTGCCTTACTCTATTTTTATCATGTATTCTCGTTTGCCACTAATATGGCAGTTTGCCAACCTGCACACAAACACCCTCTTTCTTCCGCTCTCTCGCTTTCTGCTGGGGTGAGAAGGGCGCAGTAGGGCTGACAGCTCAAAGCCCTGGAAACTGACATGTCAATGGCAGATACAAGCTGTTGCGTTTGCACTGGCGGGGACACTTTGCAGACGCTAACTGCTTCCTCTCTGTGACAGCCTGACAAAGACATTCGACTACCTTTCAGAGCTACGTATAGACTCCATATCTTTAGAGACTTGTGCCGTCTTTTTGTCAATAAAACCTTTTTTGGTCCAAATTTGTTATATGTTAATTAAAAAAAAATTATGTATATATATACCCCCCCCCCCCCAAATATGCCAACAAATTAGGCAAGAAATTAACCTGTAATCTCAACAATTTTACATTTTCAATAGAATTTAAATTAGAATCATGCAGAATATTAGAACATTGGAAGTCTTTCAGTCTGAACCCTCAAGACTGATGATTAAATAAGGAAATGGTTATGAATACTCTTTAGGGAGTACTATCAAACAATAATTAATTCATGATGCAGAACTGATGCAGAATGACTGCTTTAACAAATGATGACTTAACAGAATGACAGCCCATGACTTAATTTGACACTGATGAACAACAGGAAGTCTCACAAACAACAAATGTTTTTGTGTCAAAAGTAAAATCCTAAAAACGGTTCAGTCTGTGTAGCCTCTGGACTGAAGTGTAATGCTAATAAAATCCACCCACCCCCACCCCTGAACAAGCCCCCCCTCCAAATGTACTCCAGCCCACAGCTGCAGTTTTCCAGAAAGACACTCACCATTGCACAGCCGCTCTTCTAAATCCTTCCCTCTGCGTCTTTAGGGTCCTGCAGACTGTTTAGCTGGAGAGAGCCGGGTAAGACTATCAAATCGTGCCGCTTTGAGCCGAGACAACAGAGAAGGGCAGGCGAGCAGCAGTCTTCCACTCCGCAGCAGCGCCGAGCCGAGCCCTCCCTGCACTGGGAGCCATCGCATTCAGCCAAGATTGCTTCATACAAAAGTTGACAATGCCCCAGTGAAAGCCATTGTTGATATTCAACATTTTTTAAATAGCTGAGCAGAATGGACAACATGGCAGACCACAAAACTTGGTAGGGAAACTGACCTGGAGCTCCTGAAAAACACCACAGCATATGACAGAGAAGCAACTGAGAGAATCTGAAATAAAACAAAACAGAATGTTACTTTTGAAGGTTAGACAAGATGCCCAGTGCTCACGGTTACAGCAGGACTGGAGTAATATAATATAATATAATATAATATAATATAATATAATATAATATAATATAATATAATATAATATAATATAATATAATATAATATAATATAATATAATATAATATAATATAATATAATATAATATAATATAATATAATAATTATTGAAAGAAAGGGGGGGGCGACATTTTGCAAAGGATAAACTTAACAGGCCAAATCAAAGCAACGCAAACATGTTCCTAAATTACCATATAAATGATGACCTTTCTGTGCTCATCCATTTCAGCCTTTAATTGTTGTTCTGATTGTCTTGATGGCTCCTGACAGTAAGTGGTGTTTTATTTCCATCTTTGTCAAAATGTCAGGCACAGATTAATAAAGACATTTAACACAGCCCTTGACACCCATCTGTTAATATGCAACCTGGGGCAAATGAAGCCTTACATAAACATAGAGGGAATTATTATAGGTTAATTTGATTTCATAATTAGATATGTATATGTGAGGTAAAGAATTTCTGTTGTATTTATGTTCTCTATGCAAAGTGGCATAATTCAGCTTCCCAGAGGAATAATGACTATTTCATTAAGAAAAGGTGAGAATCACTGCTACTGTGACCCAGCCCGTAGCCCCATCTAAAATCTAAAAGCCATCATCACATTCACACCCCACCGACCACAGACGGCTGTTATCCACATCATTACCATACATGCCACAGGGGGCAGTTTTGTTTCACTAAAATTACATTGTTACACTATATCAAAACATGGAGTTTAACTGCTGCCACTTATTATGCATTTGTTTTCCAGTAATTATGGCTCAAGAATTATGAATCAAGACTTTTAGAGGAACTTAATTTGGACTGCTGTGAGGTGTGCTCTGCATCTGGTCTGTGTGACTTCCCAGGGTTTAAAGTATGGGATTAGTCACCCGGAAAACTGTCCATCTGAGCAGGAGGAGGCCACTGGAATTGCGTAATTATATTGATCAGGGACAAATTACAGCTTTGACAGCAGAGGCCGGCCCGGTCTGATCTTACAGGTGTGTAGGGGAAGAGAGAGCAAGCTGCAGGGAGAAACAGAGATCTTCCTGGAAATCTACGTCAGTGGCACTCATCTCAAACCATTACCTGCCATCAAAGTGCTAATTTTACTCTGCACATTACACCCAATCCTCCTCGTCCAACCCCCGCCACGCTGGGCTGAATGGGGAAGCCTGGTGGGAAAACGACATTCAATCTGCCGGCTGCCCCATTCAGGCCAAATTGTCAAATGATGGCTCTCCACCTCTAAAGTTTCAGGAAATGAAAGGTGGCACCGGCCCTGGGCTGGGCTTAGTCGAGGACTGAAAGCAGTTGAGGGAGGAATAGGGAAAGAGAATAAAACCCCCAGCATCCATATTTTGTGCAAGTCTACACAAGGAATATCAGATATCATGAATTAATAATTCATAAATTACATATCTTTGGAGTAATTGTGCCACAATTTGCACATGTCTATATTTTGCAACCTTGCCTTGTGATAGAAAAGGTCAATTATCTGATATTTTAAGACACTTAGACCTTGACACAGTCATGAGGCTCTGCAGAGACTGTTGTCACTATGATATTTCTTGCATCATGACATTTTTGTTACTGTATGTTTTTCCCTATATGACTTGGATGCTGAATTTTGTGGACAACATTTTCAACAACTGTTCTATTTAAAAAATACTTTGTGCTCCTGCTTAAGAGTAAATATATGAAGCAAAATATGAAACAAAAGGTAACCGTTTGTAATCATGTGCAACCATATAAAGCTGCTGGAACACAGCACAGCGCAGAAATGTGAGTACAAACACAAGCACACATGTGCGAAACAAAAGCGAACTCTTCATGGCCAAGGCATACAGCGAATATGCAGAAATATTGTACTCAACGTAACCCCCCTTCCCACCCCACACCCGGAAAGAGGGGTGTTCTCTGTGCTAATTAAGTGCTAATGGTTGTGGCCCTGCAGAGAATACTAATTAGGATTTCTATTCTTCTTTTGGGTGAGCATGTACTTCAACATGGCCTAATGAGGGGAGGCAGGTATGTGTGTGCTGTGTGCTGGGTTAATGGGGGGTCCACTCTCAGGTCTCAGGGCTGTGGGCTGAAGAGGGGGGCGTTTCCTGTGCCTTGGCCTCTCTCACACAGAACCACACACACACACACACACAATGAAAGGAAGAAACTCAATCAAGATTCCTAGTATATCTACACTCTCACTCGGTGCTCTCTAGCCTTATCTATACTATATTCTATTTGTATTTTCAAATATCACCATCACATCGTAAAGGGATAGTTCACCCAAAAATGAAAACTGTTATCATTTACCTCATGTCGTCCCAAATCTGTATGACTTTACTTCATGGAATATAAAACAAGAGTTTTTGTCCATGCAGTTGAAGTCAATGGGGGTCAAAATGACAATGGACCAATTTGGCTTTCAAAATATCTTCTTTAAGGTGAACTGCACCTTTAAGGCCTAAAGTTGACCTGAACATAACAGTAAGTACACCATCTAAACATTTCCACTTACAGGAGGACACAAAAATTACATTGATGAACATAAAACACATAGATTAATCGTCCTCTAGTCAGTAGTGACAGGAAATGTTGCAAAGTAACTGTACAAAGTTCACGGAGTTTGCTCTTTGGCGTTCTACATGTTCTGAAGAATACATCTCAGAAGGCATAAGTTAAATGAGTGACGCAATGTATTTTAACATCTCAATACATTTTAACAAGGTACAGTTCCACACTCCGCACCTCTTGTGCGAATGAATTAATGAATGTAAGCAATTCAATGACAACTTAACTCACTTCTCAGGGCATTCAGACTGAATAACTCGAGTTCTCAGAGAGCCATGAAAGCTGTCACTTAAAAAGTGCTTGCCGTTGAGAAAACGATTCCCGTCAGCCAAAACTTCCTGTTTATTTACAGGCAATGACTAGATCAAAATAAATAAATAAACACACATTGTGCCGAGCAGAGAGACAGCGGTGAATCTGATGGCAGTGTAGTGTAAGTGGGAATATGAGAGGATGTGCATGCACGTAAACACGCAGATTGGGGGTGGTATTGGAATTACCTGAGAGAGATAATGGCAATGCATTAGATTAACTCTCCTCCCTTAAATGCGACACATTTAAGTAATCTTGTCCCCCGAAAACATGTCAATGGCTGAAAGGCTGCCTCAGCGCTATCAGGAGCCTCTGGTCCCCCACACTGATGCAGCTGGCAAAACCCTACCGTCGACTGTCAAAACGCAGCGCGAGATCTAGTTATAATATAATTGAATTTTCATATCAGAGGAGACCAGAGTTCTAGCAGACAATGGGAGTGCTGAGTCCTCTCTGATATTGGCACAGACCCTTTGCCACGCGCATGAAATCAGTATGTTAATGTTCCCCAGGTTTTCTTTTTTTAAGGGCACTTGTGCCTCCGCAATGTAATACCGATGTGGTTTCAAAAAAATTGCAACTATTGATAAGTAGGCAGCTAGAAACCCTTAGATCACCCCCTCCTGCTGCCTTCCTCCATCCAGGCAAGCAAGCTCCCAGACAGCGCAGCACCCCCATCCCACACCCCTTTATTAAAATTGTAATTTATTTTTCTAAATCAGAATGACAGCTTGCTTTCTTTTCTCTGCAGCAGGCGGTGAATCAAGCTGCTTTAATTACTTTCGTAACTTCGCTGACCCCAGGACTGCGCGCCTTGTGCCGAGAAAATGGGCCGGCGACAAAGCTCTCCCACAGCCGAGGCCGCCTCTGTTCATTTAAAATGCAGGAATTTATCAAACTCAGGATTTTCTATGATTTTGTTAACATTTCACCTCCTATCTTTTCCACGTTCTCATTTGACCCTCTCGGACCCTCCCGCGTCTCCCAGCCTTCCGCCGACAGCAAAAGCTCGGCGCATACAGAAGTTAAGTTCATTCAAGGAGATTGAGTGCACTCGTTTTGCTGGCTGCTCTGATGTATACTTACGTGCGTGTATGTCAATTAAGAGACATGTTTATCACTGTCCTCGGTGGTTTGTCGTAGCCCAGGCGGTTGCCCTCACAGCAGAAGAACGGATCTGAGATGCTCAGCAGGAATCAACAATGCACTTGATCTCTCAGCAGCTTCTGACCAACAGAGGTCGGGGTCAACCTGCAGATGAGAAAGGATGCATTGAGCATGTCAATACACAAGTCACATCACAATTTAAAAGTGTTGGCTGCTCCTGTTTAATCAGGAATTTTTCTTGTTCAAAAGTTTCTCTATGTAAGTACAAAAAAAAACTGCTATCTGGTCTCTCTGCATTAACCCCCGAGCTGTATGTCTCCTCTGTTCATTTAAAATGCAGGAATTTATCAAACTCAGGATTTTCTATGATTTTGTTAACATTTCACCTCCTATCTTTTCCACGTTCTCATTTGACCCTCTCGGACCGGCGTCTCCCAGCCTTCCGCCGACAGCAAAAGCTCGGCGCATACAGAAGTTAAGTTCATTCAAGGAAATTGAGTGCACTCGTTTTGCTGGCTGCTCTGATGCATACTTACGTGCGTGTATGTCAATTAAGAGACATGTTTATCACTGTCCTCGGTGGTTTGTCGTAGCCCAGGCGGTTGCCCTCACAGCAGAAGAACAGATCTGAGATGCTCAGCAGGAATCAACAATGCACTTGATCTCTCAGCAGCTTCTGACCAACAGAGGTCAGGGTCAACCTGCAGAT